TGATTTAATACTAGGGTCAGACCGGTGTACCCAAATGGATTGTTTATAGGTGTGCCTAGCAGTGCTGATGTCTTTTTTTCATTAAACTAAAATCAATATCCACCTATGACCTGCAAAGCGTGGTTGCCAGGCATGAAGAGACTGGCCTTATGGTTTGTAAAAATCCATTTAATTGGAAAAGAAAAAAAAATCCCCGGTACTTCTGGGTACTGGGAACATGTGACTCACTGCATTGGTATTTGCTGATGAGCCACTCAGGCGCCAATACTATGATATGGGGCCAGGAGCAGAGGCCTAACCCTAAATAAACTTCAAGCCTATCCTCTACTTCCTTGCCATTTGGCTCAGTGATGGGCCGAACAGGCCCGTGCTCGGTTCGAATTAGAACTTTAGAACATCCAAAAAGTTTGAAATCGAACTCAATGCAAGTCAATGGGGGTAGAACTTTCAAAAACAATTGTCCCCTTTAAGAGGGCTTATATGCAAGCTATTGGCCATAAAAGGTGTATGGGGATCCGGGTACTGCCCTGGGGGACATTTATGGGGATCCGGGTACTGCCCTGGGGGACATGTATGGGGATACGGGTACTGCCCTGGGGAACATTTATGGGGATCTGGGTACTGCCCTGGGGGACATGTATGAGGGTACTGCCCCGGGGGACAGGAATCAATGAAAAAAAAACACTTTTAAAAAATACAGTTTTAAAGGAGCAGTGATTTTAACATCACATAAAGGGTAACAATAAAAATGAAAAATTCCTTTAAATATCGTGCTTGGGGGGTCCCCTTAACCTGCCTGTAAAGAGGCAAATCTGTATGATTTGTATAGAACCTGCTGCAGCAAAACTAACATTTCTAATAAAAAAAATTAATGTTTTTTATTCTTAAACTGTGCAGTTCCCCCTCCCAAACAATACCAGACCCTTTAGGTCTGGTAGGAATGTTAGGAGGGACCCCATTTAAAAAAAAAAGTGCCCCCCTCTCCCATACCAGGCCACATGCCCTCGGCACTTGGGCGGAGCTAGCATTGACAGCTAGCTCCGCCCAACTGTTTACAGTTGTAACAGGGTGAGCCGTGATTGGGCTCGCCATGACTCATCATGACTTTGCCCACTCATGGCTCTCACCGTTCTCTGTGCCCTGATTGGGCAAAGTCTTGCTCCTGACCTGTGGTCAGGTGCAAGGCTTTAGACCCTTGGTTCTCAACTGGTGGATCGCGACCCCGTGTTCAGTGGGTCGCCACGTACCTTCCACTTTTCTAGGTGAGAGGCTCCTCGGCCTCCCCCAGTTCTCGTGACAAGAAGCTATTTAAAACATGCTGCCTGGCACTGAGTGTCAGCTTGTGGTGGGGTGGGCTAGGGCTATGGCCGTGAGGGAGCTCCATCCATACATGCATTGCTTACAGCACCCTCGCTTTACCTGTAGAGGTGCCTAGACCGGAATGACACATTCTGGCTCCCGGCACTTCTACAGAGCACGCAAGGGAGCTGTACAAGCAATGCACAAATGGATGGAGCTCCGTCACAGCACCACAGCCCACACTGGACCCCAGGCTGAGGATCCACTCCAGTCAATCGCCTGCACCGGAATGCGTCGTACCCCAATGCTGTGCGTTTTATTGCAGTGCGACTTAGGTCGCGACTTAATGACCGAGGACAAATGTGGGTCCCGAGGTTACACAGGTTGAGAACCACTGCTTTAGACAATCAGGGCTCGCCAAACACACAAACCGCCGATGTTCGAGTTGAACTCACATTCAGCTCGAACATCGAGCCCAGCCCTAATCAGCACCGAGAGCCAAAGAAAATGCCCAGTACATCCGGCTATAGAGGAGCATGTGACTCTGTACATGTGACAGTGCTGAGCCAATCAGTTCATAGCTTTGTGTAATATACAACTCCAGGAAATCCTAGACTCGATTGGACTCCTGGTAGCTAATAAAGCAGAGGGGGAGTGATGTAAAGGTGAATATGTGCTGGTATGGAGGGGGATATCAACATAAACATGTTGCCTATTCCTTATAGGAGTGGTAATTGTTAAACCTCTGGCAGGTTTTTACTGCTGTCTGTCCAGCTATATACTGAGCTTTGGGTCACAGGAGGAGGTTAGTACCGTGTTTCCCCGAAAATACGACGCTGTCTTATATTTTTTTTGCCCCACAAAAACACACTAGGTCTTATTTTCAGGGGATGTCTTATTTTTTTAATTTGCAACAAAATGTACAACAATCAAAAGTTATCTGGTATCACTCCGCCTGTCACAGTACCGGACAGCGGTACCAGCAGTGCGGACATCAGACAGTGGACAGCGAGGTAGAGTACGGTACCATTTACCGGTACACACAGTACAGTACCATTACATTAAGCAGTGCCTTCGGGGACAGCAGTTGGTGAAGTATGGTACTGGAGTGCTCCCTGTCACTGCGCCGGCCAGAGGGAGTCCCCTGTCATCCCCTTAATACAGTATGTCCCTGCAGGCCGATACCATCTCTCCTGCAAGTTCCCCCTCACATGCTACCACCAAACTAGGTCTTATTTTCGGGGTAGGTCTTATATTATAGGAATCTTGAGAAATGGTGCTAGGTCTTACTTTCGGGGTAGGTCTTATTTTCGGGGAAACAGGGTATATGTCCTCCCATAACCTTAAAGAGAACAATGGAACAAAAAGGTTACCCCATAGTTCTCTTTTAATATATGCCTGGCAAAGACATTGGAGCACAATAGCACTTACATACAGGCTGTGAGTCATTTAATGATACTGGGATTGTGTTTTGTCACCATAGTATGTATGCATGCCAAGGCAGTGTGTTTTCAGGCTGGGTGTAGTCACATTTCTGCTAGTTTAAAGATCAGTCCTAGTCGCAAGTGAAAACACATTCGGTGAGCTACCAATGCTACACAGTGAACCCAGCAACGGTGCCAAATACAACATAAAAGCTCAACCCAATTTTGTTTTTAACTCAGGCTGCAATAGTTACCTTAAGTCCAGAGCTGCACCGTCCCAGTTATCTCTTTTTACTGCAAGACATCCATAGTATTCTGGGGGGAATGGCGCCCAGCATCAATCAACCTGGAAGACTGAGGACATACTGCGAGTGCAGGGCATCATAGACCCCCCTCCTGAGTGCGCCAATACCATGCCCTGCATGGTGCAGAGAGGACATGTGAATACCCAGAGAAAAAGCAAATAGGAAAAGGACCCAACAGCTTCATGTGAGCGGCCTGAAGATATTTGAAAAAGGTAAGTCAAAAAATTGCTGAAAATACAGTTGGGAAGAAGAGAGGGCTTCAAGGAAGGAGGGGGACACAGGGGGAAAGTGTGGAGCCAGGAAATGGGCTTTAACCTCGATGTAATAACCTGCGTAATTGCAGACACTTCTATACAGAATCAGTAAAATTGTGTCTCTTAAAGTCTGTGCCAATTGTCTTCTTCTCTTGGTCTTCTTCCTGCATCACCAACAAGGAGGGTGTTTTATCATCACCAGCAGGTGTGGTCAAGCATCACCCACAGGGTTGTAGTCTATCATCACCTGCAGGTGTGGTCCAGCATCACCCACAGGGTTGTATTCTATCATCACCAGCAGGTGTGGCCCAGCATCGCCCACAGGGGGGTATTCTATCATCACCAGCAGGTGTGGTCCAGCATCACCCACGGGGTGGCATTTTATTATCACCCGTAGGTTAGCATACAGTTCACCTGAGCAGGATTATTCCAGATACTTCTGAAGGTGTGGCCCAGCATCGCCCACAGGGGGGTATTCTATCATCACCAGCAGGTGTGGTCCAGCATCACCCACGGGGTGGCATTTTATTATCACCCGTAGGAACGATGCAGCATCACCCACAGGGTGGCATTCTATCATCACCCGTATGTGTGGTCCAGCATCACCCACAGGGTGGCATTCTATCATCACCAGCAAGTGTGGTCCAGCATCATCCATAGGGTGGCATTCTATGACCACCAGCAGGTGTGGTCCAGCATAATCCACAGTGTGGCATCCACAGTCAGCCCTTAGCCCTTAGCTTCCTATATATCATGGATTGTCCAAGAGTGAGATCTCCCTTCAATAATTCCATGCTCTTTTCCATATGGGAATTTTGGGTTTTCCAGTCCACCTTTGTGTGTTCCTTGCTCTTCGATTACATTCTCCATACCATAACATGTACACAAAAAAACCTGCAGGGATGTTGGAAACCACTCATAGTGGACACAGCAGATGTGTAAACCCAAGAACTCCGCACATAGATTGCAAAAAGAGAGCTCCCGACAGATAGTTAAGGGTTAGGGTGTATAAAAATTAATCAAACTCTGGATGATGCTCAAAAAAGGCAAGTACTGGACAAAAGATTGGCCACCAGTATTGCCCATGGTCTCCTGGCAGCTGACTTTTCCCCTTTATTGACTAGCCATGCCTTATTCTGCACTATGTCCCTGTATTGGGGCGGCTATCTTAGTAAGGGCTGAGGAGCAGAGATTTGCTTTCTCATGTCATAGCTGCCCCCCTAATAAACTGGAGATCCTATAACTGGTGGGGAATGTTCAAGAAGTAGCACGAGAGGCACGAAGCACATATCCACAGAATGGGTGAGGCAGATGCATGGAGATATATGCAGCACAGAGGCAGCTGTACCTTCGATCTCACACTGCAGATATATAACCAAAAAAGGCTGTAGGCTCAGGAAGTTCAGGGAGTGTTTTTAAGGAGGAATTCAAGACAAAAAAGTATTTTAGAGGGTACAGCTTATGCGAAATTGACATTTCTAGATGTTCCCGCTAACTCATTTTTTTGAGTTCAGGTCCACTTTCACTCTCCAGCACCTACCAATAAACATTGACATATCAACTGTGGGTGAACTGAGCCTTTAAATACTTTGTTTTTTAAAAATCTTTTCTAATGGATGTTCAGTTTTTTTGGGAAAGATGACTCTAAGCAAATGTGTTCTTTAAATACTGGTATATCTCTTTCAGTGAATGTGAAGTTGTGACCTACCCAGCTAATCATGGCAGCCTTAACTACTGGAGGTGAGAATTTTCTTATAAGAAAACTTTTTCTTTTAAATGCTGATATATTTTTAATATAGTTTCTCAAAGAGAAGTATCAGTAATGGTAGTACTATAATGTGAAGGCCACATTACACCATAACACCGCAGTGCATCTTCAATGACAATGCGCAACCCTTTACAAAAGTGTAGCGCCCTCTGGAATTTTGCTATCCAATTTAGAAATACCTGGACTATAACCAGTCTAGATACTGATTATTCAGAGCTCTGCACTCTATAGGTGTCCCTGAGTCTACTGGATTTATTGCTCCTCCTGTTGCTGAGGAAAAGGGAGCCTTAGCATACAGTGAGGGAGGATTCATCCTCAGATTATGACTATGCACCTGACCCTGACCAATCCCTGAGCAGGATGACTCAGATGTATGGTTGAGGGCAGGTAATAAAAGGTCTGGGGACGCTATGCAGAGTTCTCTTCTCCCTACGAGCCTCGCCCTAGGAGGTCTCTGTGTTACAGACAAATGGCCTTGGCCTCAGCACATGGCAGATGCTGGGGGCCTGGAGGCCTAGGACACCATAGGAAATTTGCTTGGGCCCCATACACGTGGCAGGTGTTGGGTGTCTTGTTCTGAGAAGATACTACTACTAATCAGGAGTGCTCCTTGGCAAGTGGCAGATGCTGAGGGCACAGAGATTCCAGATACTTCTGAGGAAAGACCTGATGGAAGCTGGGCCGGAGGTAGAGTCTTCTTGTCGAGGGGTACCGCAGAGGAGCTGGTGAGAGCGTCCGTCTGGGACCCACAAGAGAGATCCCTCACCCTATTCCAGGTGTCTGTTCTAGAAGAAGCCAGAGGTCCTTACCTGAGTCCAGAGATAGTTATCCTTCTCCATATAAGTTACTGGACCATCCTGGTTGTTCGCAGTATTGGTGAAGAAACCTTGCCCTAGTTGTTGCTAGGGGAGGAAGCAGTCCTCTGAAGAAAACCCCAAGGGCATCCTACAGACCCCAAATCCTCTCTCCTGTTAATCTTTGCAAATAAATCTACAAAAAAAAGACCCTAAGACTGGAGTCCATTCTGTCCATGAGTGTCGGTGTGCTGTTGCTGATCAAACAGGGCCGGTGGCTGGAGCAAACAGGTAGGAGCTCCTTCGGGGGTGAGCGCTACAAAAGCAAAGCCACTCACTACATCACATGACCACAGGTTAAGTCCTCCTAGGAATACCATTGAATCTGTACTGATAGCCAATACCTTCTCAGCTCTATCCCCAGACACATTCCACCAACTTACTCATATCAGGCTCTATTCTGGGATTCACCATCCAGACCATCACTCAAAAGTTCACTCGAGGATGTCTAAAATGTAAAAGAAATTAAATCCATACCAGACTCTTATCCAAGATAGAAAAAAAAACATTAGGATTCTCTGCTGCATCAGCATGGCAGAGAGCAGGAGCCAAAGCAGGTCTGGAGGTGAACTTCCATCCTTTTTCTGAATGGATCCCACCGTCCCTGCATTAGCACCATTAATTTCCAAAGTGCTGGCAGCTGGGCCACCTGCACTATGGTAAGGCATGACACTGTATGACATTTTTTTGAAGTACCCCTAAGGAAGCCAGAAAGTACCCCAGGGTGCCAGCGTAAGAAGGGCTGGGTTAGCCCAGTCTCAGTAATTATTAAAAACAAATAAAATAAAACGCATAAAAGGACACTCAGTATTATAATTCAAGAAGCATTCATTTGTTATCCTGAAATGAACAGATATTGACAGGAACAGTTAAACATAAGCTGGTTCCTGGTTTTGAATGATTGCTCTTGAAGAGTTTTGTTCTTTAAAATGTTCCTCTTCTTAGTGAACAACGTCTCATTTTTGTGGATGTTTATATATATATTACACTGACCAACATCTACTTCTTATCTATCTTTTTTTGATGTTCCTCAGATGCTGAGGCTCCGGAAGGTAGAACTCCTGGGGATGTCATTTATGACGCACTCGAGCATCTCACAAGTGGAGAATTTAAACGATTTAAGAACAAGTTATCAGATTTCTCTTACCAAGGTGGAAGTTCTATACCACGTGGACGCCTGGAACACGAAGACCGTATTGCTGTTAAGGACATTCTTGTAAATGTTTATGGAGCTATGACAGCTCTAGATGTGATGCTTCAAGTTCTCAAAGCCATTGGATTCAGGGGCATTGCAGAGAGACTAGTGAAAAGCATTCAAACAGGTAAGGTTATAGAATATCCATTAGACTAAAGGTTTCTCCATGCATTAGATGTTGACCAGTTCTGCATGCTCTGTCCAGCTGCCCAAAGGAGTGTTCTTAGGAACCATCATTACTTAAACATTCAATCTCTGGGGCTTAGTAGCCAAATGTGTGTGCAGAAGCACCTTTTGTATATGACAGCTGAAGCCCAATCACGGAGCCATTTATCCAACTTATATACATTTATATAAAACGCAGCTTGTTAGCTCCCACTTAGCAAGATTTGGAAACCAAGGTAAAGCTTGTGGAGGAACGAAATCCAAAAACAATGAAAGGCATGGTGAGATGGAGCAAAGGGAGCCGAAAGGCTCTACCCTCAGGTCATGGTAAAGTACAGCAGAGCCTTTTTTAATGCGTTTCCAGTTGAAGGCTTTTAGCAATTGGAAGGGAGAATTATAACAATTTATACATTATTTTCGAAGTCTTTCTGACCAAAATTTTACCATAATGTGTTTTTTACTTTTTCAGACTTGCAGCTTCTTCAAATATCACCAGAGAAATGTCTAGAAGGTATGATATTCTTCTCATCTTTGTCCACAGGTGTACAGCCAAATCTTTTTCAAATGTAGTCGTCTGTAGTTCCTGTTGTGTGGCATGTCATGAATATATTCATGTAGACTTGTAAAGTCTTCTAAAAGATCCACTTTAATAAATAAAAGTAGCATTGTCTTGTTAGTTAAAAATCATGAAAATCTGCTACCGTATTTGCCGCCGTATAAGACGACCCCCTACTTTTTATGTTAAAATATAGGTTTTGGGCTATACTCGTCGTATAAGACGAGTATAGCCCAAAATAATGTTTGAATACACACACTAACCTCCATGGCGTTATTCCCGAGTGTGGCTCGGGGTTCATTTTCAGTACCATAAGCGGTAACCCCAAGCCACACTCGGGATTACAGTCTCTTACCTTGTCCGCGATCCCCGCTGTGTCCTCCGTCTTCCGGGTTCCATCAGTATACTGCGCTGAGCCAATCACGGCAGGCTTTGTATTTATTAATACAGGCCTTCTATTCATGAATACAAAGCCTGCCGTGATTGGCTCAGCACAGTATACTGACGGAACCCGGAAGATTTGTACTATGTACAGCCATACCCGGCGTATAAGACGACCCCCGATTTCCGGGGGATGTTTTTAAGTTCAAAAACCCGTCTTATACGCTGGCAAATACGGTACATTGATACCTCTATTGTCAACTGCAATGAATGACTTTACATAGACTTTGCTTTTTTGGTGACATTTTACCATTTATCTTATGCAGAATACAGAGAGCATTATATTGATCACCTGAAGAGTAAATATTCAACTTTCGAGGAAAGGAATGCTCGCATAGGGGAGGTGGTTAGTTTGCAGAGTAGATACACCAGACTGTTGATTATAAAGAAACATCGTAATGAGGTGGAGAGAGAACATGAAATAAGGTCTTGTGGCAGAAGGCACCTACAAATAATGGACAACAGATCTTCCCATGAGTATTTGCCAACTGATATCGACCTCCTGTTTTCTCCTGATGAGCATAAAGTTGTCCCCAGAACTGTCGTTCTGCAAGGTCCAGCTGGTATTGGTAAGACCATGACCTCTCAAAAGATCATGCTTGACTGGGCCTCTGGAAATCTGTGGCAAGAAATGTTCAGTTTTGTGTTTTATCTGAATTGTAGAAAACTCAACGCCATCACCAAAAACATAAGCCTAGCCAAGCTTCTTTGCCAAGTGTGCCATTTAAATTATGAGCAAGGCCTACTTAACTCGATCTTCAAAGAGCCTGAAAAGCTCCTCTTTGTGATTGATGGCTTTGATGAGTACAAATGTTCCGTAGAGATGAGAGCCGAGGTCTGTGAAAACCCTTTTCAAGAAGTCCCTAAACAAATACTGCTAAACAGTTTCCTTAGAAAAAGAATGCTCGGGGGGTGTTCACTGATCATCACCACAAGACCCTTCTTGCTGATGAATCTTCAGCAACTTGTTAAACACCCTCGCTATGTGGAAATTCTGGGATTCACAGGAAATGACCGCCAAGAATACTGCTACAATTTCTTTAAAGACAAAGGTCACGCAAACCTGGCTCTCAGTGTTATTATGGACAACGATACTATCTTCACCATGTGCGCTGTCCCGATAACATGCTGGATCGTATGTACTGTAATAAAACAGAAAATTGAAAGGGGAGTTCATGTGGTGAATAATTGCAATACAACTACATCTATATACCTGCTCTACCTGAAAAGTTTGCTTACTACAGGATCCAACCAGGTAATTACCTGTATCAAAAAGTTGTGTGCTTTGGCTAATGAAGGAGTTTGGAATCAGAAGATCTTGTTCGAAGAAGAAGACGTTCAAAGACACGGGCTTTCTTTATTAGACGAAGAGTCTGCGTTCTTGATCCAGAACATCTTTCTCCAGGATATCGACATTCGAACCTGCTACAGCTTCATCCATCTGAGCATCCAGGAGTTCTTTGCCGCTCTGTACTACGTGCTGGTTGACGAATCCGAAAGACACATTACCTACGCTGCCAACGAACATGCCGCCTGTTCAGAGATTTGGACCCTCAGCCAATTGCTGAAGACATCGGTGGGAAAGTTACACCTGGAATTAACTGTTCAGTTCCTGTTTGGTCTCGTTGGTGACATTCACCAGACAAGAAGATGTCTAGGTTGTCCGTTATCTTTCAATGAGATTTCCGTTCTAGAAACGTGGCTGAAAAACCTTGGTTTTTCTCATTCTTGCAGAATATTCAGACTCTTGTATGAAACAGATGATGCTAACTTGATTGAAAGGACTATGTCTCGCTTCTCCCACATAGACATTAAGTCACGTGACTATGAATACAGGCTCAGCGATATGGATTACAGAACATTAGCGCACTGTTTGAAAAATAGCTTAATCGAGCACTCAATTAAAATGACTGGATGTGTGATAAGGCCAAAGGCGCAATCAATTCTAGCTGTACCTCTTCAAAAGTGCTCAAAGCTTTGGTAAGTGCTTCTCACGTCACTTTGAAATCTATAGGAAGGTCATGGAGAGTTTAGTATCTCAGAAACCAAAGAAATGGGACACGAGCTCCAATGTCTCCCCTATTAACAACCTTTCTTTTGTTTTTGTCTGGTAAAATACATTTAAAGGCTCAATCCACCTACAACTGATATTTGAGTAGGCAGTGCCTAGCCTTCATAACTTCAGAGTCAAGCATTCTCCCCCCCCGCACACACACACACACACATATCATTATACATCACTCTTTTGATTTTATTGATAGTGTCATGCTCCCCTTAGTGGATACTCCAAAGAAATCCAGAAGGTTGAGAGTGACACTGTTGGCCATCATAAAACCAACTGAGGAACGACAGCCTTTGAGGGGGCATTTCAAGGCCATTAGGAGACGTACAAAGTAAGAAGGAATGCTATAGTATTCACTGAAATGGGAGATTTTAGTCATGTCTTTAGGGATAAATTGGGTGTTTTTGCTTTGCCAAACCTTTTGTCAAAATCAGGAAATTTTAGTAAATTCTTGCCATTTGGGCAAAATGCATTGGATAAAAACAAAGCCATGTGATTTTTATTTAATTTAAGCTTGAGATATAAGTTTCAGCAAAATCACTCCACTTATCTCCTGCTATTTCTTGGTTTACTTTAAAGCGAGTGCTGAGACTTCTGCAAACAGTTGTTACCATAGGCTTTCTGGACCATTGGAGCTTATGATATCCAGACTGCTATGACTGTGCTTATGATAGCCAGCTATAAAGTGTAAGGTTTATTATCCTGGTCAATCATAATTATTTATAGACCTTTTCACATACCTATCTTTTCAGGTTTGATCATTGCAGCTTTCTTGACAATGAACAAAAACATAAAGACAGATGCAGCATCTCTAATCTCTTTACATCCCATCGTGGAATACAAGAACTTGTGTAAGTGTAACGGGGAACATGGGATAATGATTTAAAAAGGGTCTCGTGTAGAGTACTTAGAATACTTGGTGCAGCAACAATGTCAGGGCAATTCTCTTTAGTAACACTCGCACACATCTCGGGGTGCACGGTTCTTGACCCATTTTGCTTCTCTATATTGTTTCCCAATTACATGTTCTTCAAACTGTCAGAGTTACCCATTCACACACACACAAAAAAAGAGGAGCAATCCACTGAGGGTTATTAAAATCCTTTACTCACAAACAATTGCAGCAATGATGTTCAACTCTATTTATCATGGCTCGTTTCAAGGGTCAGACCACCCAAATTCGATATTTCAGCTTTTGGTAGATGAGAGAGTTAAATTAAGTGGAGGTATCATAGAGCTCTGAAGGACTCTATGGGTGAGATCTCTGTAGCCTGTAGACCTCCTACAGCCAATATGAAGAGCACCTACTTTCCCTGGATGTTAAAATATTTCATAATATAGAGGAGACATTTTGGAGATGGGGATTTTGGTTAACCAGGGCAGATAAGGCAGTGGAACTAGGCATAGCTTCTTTGCTATAAACATCAGGCTTTAGATGGGGATTAAAATGTATGACAATAAACATGATATGGGGACCTTAAAATAACCTACAGCAACAATACAACAATGTAACATACTGTATACATACATTCTCACTTCATGTTGCTTGTGTTCAACCCTATTATGGAATGGCTGAGGTTCAAAGTTCCACCTCCCGCCCATTGGCTGAATGTGATAAACATGTCTTTATTTTGACTGGAACTTTTGTACCACTTTATGTCCAGTCTAGCTTTTTAAATATCTAAAGTTTGGGGTATTTGGTGATTTGTGTCTCAGTGCAAAGTTACAAAGAAAGGTCAGCATGCCTTTGATCCATTTCAATCCTTTTAAAAAGCTCAGAAGAGCATAATGTACATAAAACAGCTGTCTACCTATTTATATTGCTGTGGACCATTGTTCTTTGGGTTCATCTGTCCATCCATGAGTGTCTTCATCCGTTTAGGTTGAGGAATTGTGGTCTGACGTCATTGAGCTGTGAAGACCTCTGCTCTGTTATAGCCAAAAACCGATCTCTGATCAAACTTGACCTGTCAGAGAATAACCTACAGGACTCTGGAATAAACCTACTGCACCCGGAACTCAAGCATCGGAGCTGCAATATACAAGAGCTGAGGTGAAAACGATTCTGTTACTTAGAGGAAATGCAAGCAGTTTGGGGGGATGCCACTGCTCACGTTCAAGTCAATTTAGAGACACCTGAACTACAGACCTTTTCTAGATCAATTAGTTCCAACTAGTTAACCCTCCTTTTGGATCATGCACACAATTTTTTCTTTTGGCCTCTTCCCTTCCTAATACTTACAACACCAATATATATAAAAAAATGGGGTATACATGAGACGTATGCAACTTTGTGTTACTGTTAAAAATATAATTTATTGTACAACATTAAAACATAAAAAAATCCATCATTTGTTTGTACATAGAATACCTAAAATTCATATACGTCTTACATTTTCCCCTTGTTTATTTCCCTCAGAAAACTACAGCCCTTACTCAACTCTACACATCTTAGTTACATATATTTATACAACCATCTGGTCATTATTCAATGGAGGGTCCAAGGGCTGGTAGTTTCTTCTCTTCCGATGCATTTCGCATCATAGCTTCATTAGGGGAGCTTTTTGTTAAAGGAGAACTATGGGGTTAAGGCTTTTCCCCATAGTTCTCCTTAGGGTAACGGGAGGACACAAACTAGCGTCCTCCCGTCACCCTAGGCTCAGTATACCGCAAGCTGTAGCTCGGTATAGTTGTAGACTGAGCTGCTGCTCGCGGTATACTGAGACGCCGCAGCTGAAGCGGATCCCGACAATTGTGCCGGGATCCGCCCAGCTGCGTCACTGACAGCTGGCTCTGCCTATCTAGAGGCAGAGAATACATTCTCACTTCATGTTGCTTGTGTTCAACCCTATTATGGAATGGCTGAGGTTCAAAGTTCCACCTCCCGCCCATTGGCTGAATGTGATAAACATGTCTTTATTTTGACTGGAACTTTTGTACCACTTTATGTCCAGTCTAGCTTTTTAAATATCTAAAGTTTGGGGTATTTGGTGATTTGTGTCTCAGTGCAAAGTTACAAAGAAAGGTCAGCATGCCTTTGATCCATTTCAATCCTTTTAAAAAGCTCAGAAGAGCATAATGTACATAAAACAGCTGTCTACCTATTTATATTGCTGTGGACCATTGTTCTTTGGGTTCATCTGTCCATCCATGAGTGTCTTCATCCGTTTAGGTTGAGGAATTGTGGTCTGACGTCATTGAGCTGTGAAGACCTCTGCTCTGTTATAGCCAAAAACCGATCTCTGATCAAACTTGACCTGTCAGAGAATAACCTACAGGACTCTGGAATAAACCTACTGCACCCGGAACTCAAGCATCGGAGCTGCAATATACAAGAGCTGAGGTGAAAACGATTCTGTTACTTAGAGGAAATGCAAGCAGTTTGGGGGGATGCCACTGCTCACGTTCAAGTCAATTTAGAGACACCTGAACTACAGACCTTTTCTAGATCAATTAGTTCCAACTAGTTAACCCTCCTTTTGGATCATGCACACAATTTTTTCTTTTGGCCTCTTCCCTTCCTAATACTTACAACACCAATATATATAAAAAAATGGGGTATACATGAGACGTATGCAACTTTGTGTTACTGTTAAAAATATAATTTATTGTACAACATTAAAACATAAAAAAATCCATCATTTGTTTGTACATAGAATACCTAAAATTCATATACGTCTTACATTTTCCCCTTGTTTATTTCCCTCAGAAAACTACAGCCCTTACTCAACTCTACACATCTTAGTTACATATATTTATACAACCATCTGGTCATTATTCAATGGAGGGTCCAAGGGCTGGTAGTTTCTTCTCTTCCGATGCATTTCGCATCATAGCTTCATTAGGGGAGCTTTTTGTTAAAGGAGAACTATGGGGTTAAGGCTTTTCCCCATAGTTCTCCTTAGGGTAACGGGAGGACACAAACTAGCGTCCTCCCGTCACCCTAGGCTCAGTATACCGCAAGCTGTAGCTCGGTATAGTTGTAGACTGAGCTGCTGCTCGCGGTATACTGAGACGCCGCAGCTGAAGCGGATCCCGACAATTGTGCCGGGATCCGCCCAGCTGCGTCACTGACAGCTGGCTCTGCCTATCTAGAGGCAGAGCCAGCTGTACCCGCCCCCTCCCCCGTCCGTTCCGCCAGTCAGCGCTGGAGGATCAGAGCGGGGAGGGGGGAAGCCAGCCCCTCCCCTGTCACGGCAGAGAGCCGTGACAGGATCAAGAGCTGAGCGAATGCCGGTATGTGTTCGCTCACCTCCCGATCTACTGAGCCGACATGTGACAGTCTCATTGTCACAGGTCGGCTAGAACTATGAGGTGAGTGAAAAGCACTCACCTCATAGTTCTCCTTTAAAGCAGCCTTCAATAAAGAATCATATATTATACACATGGTACAGTACAATACAAAATGATATACAAGTTCTTCCTCTGTTTCATCCTCATTTTGACTAAGCTTGATGAAGAAGACCCTGCATGGCTCAGAAACATCACTATCATTGTGACAATATGCGTCACTAAAAGACGTTTATTGTCACATTTACTGTGCTGGTGACATTTTGCTGCTCCATACTTCCAGTTGTGCTTTTGTGTTGTCACTCTATAACATGAGCTTCCAATGGAGAATACAAATGGCCATTTTAACACATTTTATGCAAAAATTGTTCCATAAGGAAACCTGAGAAATGCTATACAGCCATCACTGGGCTGCAATTAGAGATGAAGTGGCTGCAAAGACGATGTAGGAGATCAACAGTACTGAAATGCAACAATGGTGAAGAAATGTGAAGTTCACAAAAGGGTGAAGAGTTTGGATAAGGCAGGAGAACATTCTAGGACAAAATAGCTGATATGGAAACATTCACTAATTCAGCTCACTTTCTAGTTCAGCTATGTTGTCCTATATTGTTCACTTCTCCTGCCTTCTCCAAACTCTTCAACCTTTTGTGAAAAGCCCTGAAAATGCCATTCAGTTAGGGTTTACATCTACTCTGTATTCTTTGCAGGTTGGAGAAATGTGGTCTCACCTCATCCTCCTGTGGCTTTCTCTGCTCAGTTCTTAGAAACCCATCTCTGATCACCCTGGATCTGTCAAGTAATGATCTGCAGGACTCTGGAATAAAATGTCTAAGCAAAATACTTGGACATGTTCGCTGCAGCTTGCAGAATCTGAGGTAAGAATTACACCGTTAACCAATATGCAATACGATTACAATAGACTGCAAATCCTCTGCTTGAGGTTACCTGCGAAATAACATACATATTCTATAAAGCTCTGGAATAAAACTAGTTGGTTCACTCATCAAGGTGTAACTTAACTGGAGCTAAGGTGGAATTTGTATCACAGTATAAATTATATATTATTTTTGACACGACAACCCTGTGTGATAAGTCCAAGATTTCATACAATGAAAGCCTCCATGAACTAAATCCCCCTTAACCCCACACAGGCAGTATTTGACTATACAGAGCAAGAACAAGACATATTGGGGCAGGAGGTAATAGACATCTATACCTTGCAGGACAAAGCAACGGATTCACTTTAAAACCCCTCTAACAGCGTAAATATTTCTGTTAGGAAGTGAGACTGCAAGGGCCTAAGGAGAACTATGGGGAAAAGCCTTAACCCCATAGTTCTCATTTAAGCCTAGGTCACTGGTGGACTGCACCTGCACTTTATCAGTCCTGCTACTTGTTTGAGAAGGATTGCGTACCATAGAAGACCCATTCACACCACTGCCTTGGGGTTGTATTGCTCAGCTCAAGCCTAATACAATACCAAGCCAAGATCTTTTGTTTCTGTAGAGCTCACCCCCGTAGGAGCCGCTGGTTGCCCGGTTCATCTCTAGTCTGTCTAGGGTATGATCTTCAGCTGCCCACCCATTAGCACTAACTGCCCTTCTTCTGGTGCCCATAAACTGATGTCCACTACAGTAGTAGAATGCTAAGTAAACGATTTATTGCACATCTTCACTGGGAAGAGAGGGTATAGGGGTTCTAGGTGTCCAGGGGTAACCAATAAGAGCTCCAGACTCACCAGACCTTGTAGGAATATCAGTGTAGATCCACCTGGTAGACAGCAGACAGCCACTGATATAACAGACAGACAGGATGGATACAGATCCTCAAGCAGTAAAGACAACGACCATGCTCCTGAAGTCCACTTAGTTCCAGGGTACATCAAGAGCCTGCATTGGTCCCGGTTCTCTTCCTCTATCGGCATCACAGGCCTCCTCCATGTTGGAGGCCTCAGGGAAACCTTTTCCCTCACACCAGCCCATGCCCACCCCCAGGCCTCAGGCCTATCCTGGGGGCAGACTGAACAGCACCCAGCCCTATTCCATGGCTAGTCCCGGCTAGTCTGAGCACATGGCAAATCCCACCAGTATATGTACCCTATCCCAGCATGCACCACTGGCTGAGAGAGTATCTCAGTGATTGGCTGCTGTACTGTACATTCACTACAGTGCCTCTCATTGGCTGTCCCACAACATGACAGAGTCACACTCCGCCCAGGGGGGTACAGGCAATGCTAGACAACTGGAATTAACCAGATAATTGCCACTATAAATCCAGCCAGGCTGACTACAGCCCTGGCTATCACTAAATGTCTAGTAGCCATATCACAGAAGGTGATGGGGGGCTACATTTCCAATAGGCTTAACATAATGGGTAGTGCTAGTGTGTGCTGGGTGGAAATGGAACATTCTACATGTAAGTACAGTGTAACACACTGCATAACATTACAGCATGGTGAAGCATGAAGTTAAGGATTGAAAAATAATGTATTTTGGCTCCTACTGTGAACAAAAACGCATGCAATTCACGCAATAATGACCCCTAAGGACTTTTGGTCATTTTAAACCTTTCTAAAAACCTTTTCTTATTGGTTTCTGAGAAACGTTTCCCCCCTCTCTTTCCTTTATGTGTTTCTTGAATAAGAAAATTAATTATTATTGTGCAAAATAATTTCAACACATTTTGATCAACTCCACAAATCCTTTTCAAGAATCTATTGGCGGAATACCTTTTGTTATTCATATGCTAGCACGATGTTAGAGTGACATTACAACTGATGGCCTTTGTCTATCTGCAGGCTGAATAAATGTGGTCTAAGCTCGTTCTCCTGCGGTGGCCTGAGCTCTGTTATTATTACAAACCGGTATCTGACCACCCTGGACCTTGCAAATAATAATCTACAGGACATTGGAATAAGGCGTCTCTGTGAAGGACTCAAACATGCTGATTGTACTCTGCAGGAGCTCAGGTGATGTTTACATTAACATGGTGGCAAAGTTGCCAAGCTAAGATGCTGGCTTCAGATTCCACCAGAGTTCTATTTGTTGACTTCATATAAACTATCATTGTGTTTCCATGAGTTTCCTCTTACGTTGTACTGGTACTGGTAAGTTGATTGCTCTTCACCAAGTCTTCACACAATCAGGGTGGCTTGTTCTGGCTAAAATGACAATTGCATATCTATAGGTAACGTGTGACTGCTCGCCTTAACAATGGTGTCACAAAACATTATAGAATATCTAAACAACATTGCAGATACTGCTTGCTTTCAGTCAGTCTCTCTCTAATTGAAAGTATGTAATTAGATTTTCCAAACATTATTATTATTATACAGGATCTATATAGCACCAACAGGGTGCACAGCAATACAAGGAAGACATTACAATTACAATGCAGTTCAAAACAAGATGGTTAGGAAGGTCCTGTCCGTAAGAGCTTATAATCTAACATGGGGAGGTAATAGGTTTTTTAGTAATTAATCAGCTGTAAGTAATGTAGCCCCTACCAGCCTCAGTGGAGTGGCTACTAAAATCTAGTGTTGCTAGCACTCAGGGGCGTACCTGCAGATCATAGAGCCCCATAGCAGAATTTTGATGGGGCCCATGGGTGACCTCCCTACTGTCAATGATATTCAAGTCAGGTAACAGGAGAGCTGTTTCCTCTTGTACAACTGATGTCGGCTCTTCTTGATTGGAATTGTAAAATGGAGTACAGGGGCAGTGAGAACAGCAACTTCAGCAATCTTTAATGGGGCCCCCTTCCATCCCCATAGCATCTTCATTGCCTGCTATGGCTATTGTTACGCCACTGCTAGCACTGTAATCAGTCTAGCTGATCTGAATCCTGGCATCATTCGGTAAGTCTAGGTGTTCGGCTATTGATGGCACCTGTAAATGGGGTATGACCCTGCCACAGAGTGGGGCAGCCAATAGGGGACCATCAGGAGTGTCTATGCCTCATAAGCCAATCACCAGGACAATCTCTTGCATGGCCAGTGGTGCTTGCTGGGGAAGTGCATACATATTCAGGGATTGCCATGTGCTCAAGGGCAGTCTGCTCCCCAGGGTTAGCCTGGGGCTGGGTTGTACAACGTTGCAGAAGCTGACTAGACCTCAAGCCTGGAGGAGGCCACATGTGGACCCTGGAGGGGTCTGGAACTATCTGGGAGGAAAACCAGAGGAGCCCTATGACTGCTGTATGTGCCAGGAGGGCCAGGAGATGGCATGGACCCCAGGAAAAAGTCTGGTGTCTCTCCCAGGGAAAATCTCATGCACATCCCCGTTCAGCTGTTGTTCTGCTGCACAGTGTCAACCTCTGTTCTAATAAATATTTCTGCATCTGCACTGTGGAAGCTTGAAGGGATTGGTGAATCTGGAGTCTATTTTTGATATGGATGTCTGAAGCCCCATACTCTCTCTCTCTCCCAGTTTTGCTGCACGCTGATAGAACATAGAAAAAGTCCTTAAAGTGACTGAGGCTCAATTTACTAATCGCATCCCACAACTCGGCTAAGGATCCACGCCGCAAATTAAATGTCAGCACCCCCTACGCTTCGGGGATCTGGCCTCTTGGGGTCAGGGAGGTGCTACAGGATAGTCCGAGGTACACCCATGACACAGAATTGCCAGAGCAATACAGAATTGCCAGAGCAATATGAGTTTCCTAAGAGACATTGTGGTGGTCTGATTATTTTAGATATGCCGTCTGTAATTGAAACCTTGTACAGAGCTCTCTGAAGGAAGGGAGAGGGAGGAGTAACTGGTTTGACTTATTCACTGTTAATGTTACCCTGAGCTATTGTGCTCTGTAGACAACAGGCTTCATGCAGTAGAGGGGTAAAGGACAATATAGAAAACGTGAAAAGAAGCCCAGAGCTTTCCCTCCTGGCTGTACGTGAAAACACACATAATTCATATGCAATATACCATTAACTATTTATGTGAATAAACAATATTTTTAACATGATGGGCTCAAAGAGAACGTTATACCCTCAATTCACAAAGCTTTATCTCAGTGCTAAGAATCTTTATTGTTAGCCATGTGACTGTCCTTTTTAAATCTCATTGGAGATTTTCTCCTCCTTTACTGCTTCTTCTTGTCTCCTCCTTTACGCCTTCTCCTCCTTTTCTCCTTCTCTCTTATGCCTTCTTCTTTTCTCCTTCTCCTTTACTCCTTCTTTTCTCCTCATTTTCTCCTACTTTACTCCTTCTTCTTTTCTCTTTTTTCCTTTACTCCTTCTTTTCTCGTTCTCCTTTACCCCTCCTCCTTTTCTCCTTGACTCCTCCTTTTCTCCTTCTCATTTAATCCTTCTTCTTTTCTCCTTTACTCCCTCTTATTTTCCCCTTCTCCTTTACTCCTCCTCCTTTTCTCCTCCTTTATTCCTTCTTCTCCTTTTCTCCTCATTTTCTGCTTCTCCTTTTCTCTTTCTCCTTTACTCCTTCCTTTTTCCTTCTTTTCTACTTTCTTTTTCTACTTCTTCTTTTCCCCTTCTCCTTTACTTCTCATTTTCTTCTTCTTTTCTCCTTCTCCTTTACTAATTTTTTCCTTCTTTTCTCTTATTCCTTCTCTTTTACCCCTTCCTTTCCCCGTTTATTTTTCTTCATCTTTTCTCCTCCTTTTCTCCTCTTTTTCTCCTCCTTTACTCCTTTTCTCCTTCTCCTTTACACCTTCTTTCTTCCTTCTTTTCTCCTCTTCTCCGTCTCCTTTACTCCTTCTTTTCTCCTTCTCCTTTATTCCTTCTTTTTTTCTTTTATTTTACTCCTTTTCTCTGTCTTCTTTTCTCCTTCTCGTTTTTTCTGTTAGCACTCGTATGACTGCAGTGAGTGAACATCACAAGATTGCACTAGGACAAGATGTTGATGATTTGGTGCTACCTCTGTAGCCTATATGGGTGCTATACAGTATAAAAGCGGGTAACTAATAAACTCTAATTTTTACTATTTCTAGGTTAAATAAATGTAATCTGACCTACTCGTGCTGCTACGAGATTCGCTCCGCTATTGCTGCAAACCACTCTCTGATCAAGCTGTGCCTGTCATACAATAACTTGATGGACTCTGGAATCAAACTGCTGTGTGAAGTATTGAGATCTCCTGGCTGCACGCTGCGTGAACTAAGGTGAGAACATCTACTGCGAACTGCATATTGAGCTGCAGAACTCCGGGATAAAACTGTGCAAGAATAAGACTTTTGGGCTAGGGAATATTTATATAGTGATTGTATGACTTATAGTAAAACACATCAAAAAATGTTTACAGCAGGGGCGCCCACAATTTTTCATCTGGAGATCTACTTTGACCAGCTCAATGAGATCTACCAATGAAAAAACACCTACATTCAGGGGCGGGAGGGGGCGTGGCAGTGCATTGAAGTCAAGCCACGCCCCCAGTGCAATCGCCTGCACCCGGAATGCAGGTGTTGCACTTCTGACGAATAAACTCCACAGTGCGATCGGGGTTGGGTGAAATTAGGGTGCTTTAATATGAACTCCAATAGAATGGAGGACACTCATCACTGAGGGAACAAGTGTGTAACTGACTAAACAATAATACAGTATAATACAGTATATAAAACATAACAACTGTGCAGGTACAGTACAGAATTATTGTGATAAACATCCAAATGCAGAATCAACATGTGCTCTGTCTGCTGGGAACATCCTCCCCCAGAGCTGCACTAAGGAAGATGCCACCTGTCCTATAATCACACTGCATTTACTTTCACTTGTCACTGGAACATTAGCTAGACCAGTTTAATCTATTATATTCCCAGTTATGCTTATAAGAATCATCTCCCTTACCTGCAATAGAATGGAGGACACTCATCACTGAGGGAACAAGTGTGTAACTGACAGGAAGTTCCCTCAGAAACAAGTAACTAAGTTTCCCTTTCCACTTACAGTGTAGCAGGTGCTCTGGTAAATGTGTCCTCTCTCTACAAACAGGATTTTAGCTTGGAGTGTTACTGTGTCCTCTCTGTCAAAACAGGAGTTTAGCTTAGAGGGTCAATGTGTCCTCACTAAGAGAACCTTAACATGTTATTAGAATATTATTTTGGGGGGTGTCTAAGTTTACATTCTTTACACAGGCACATTAGTGCCTGCGTTACGGTCCAGTGCGATCTGCAAAAATGCTGCATTTTTGCAGATAGCACTGGACCAGAACTCAGGCATTAATGTGCCTGCGTTCGAGGTGCGGGCGATCACACTGAGGGCGTGGCTTCAGTGCCATTGACTTCAATGCACCGCCACGCCCCCTCCCGCCCCTGAATGCAGGGAGCCGCCCGGCTTGTGTTCCAATGCGTTCTAGAGGCTGAACACTTTGGAACGCAGACTTTGTGGCGTGAACCGGCCCTCTCTTCTCTTTCTCCTTGCGCTCTCTCCTCTCTCTCTTCCCTGTTTCTATCTGCTGTCTCTTCTCTCTCTCTCTCTCTGCTGTCTCTTCTCTTACTTTCTCTGCTGTCTCTCTCCTATCTGTCTTTTCTTACCTCCACTGCAGCAGCTTCCCAAGTCTCCTCTCCTCTCTCCTTCCCATCTGCGGCATCTGACACATTCAGCCGCACGAGCACCGCTCGAGGACAAGACACAGGTCAGTGAGCCGATCGCGATCTACCTAATGAGCACCCCTGGTCTACAGCATCCAAGATCTCAAGTAAGAATTCTACTAAACAATCCCATAGCAAAGATATACAGTAGATGTCATATAGTTATAGGCGTATCAAATGTAAGAAGATGGAAACAAAGCCACATCTAGTAAATTTGGTAAATCTGATGGAAATAATTTGTTTATTTTTAAAGCATTTGTATCAAATGTACAATGTATATACAAGCTCCCCTGTGCAGCACTGTCACAGATGGGCTCTTACGTTCCTCTGAATTTTACCTCCATTTTTGGCAATAATATGAGAATAATTATAAATTCGGCCACGTACATGGGAGACGGTGGGGCAACTTTAGGATTAAGCATGCAAACCAGCCAGTCACCATTCCTCACCCTCAAACACAACATGCTCCAAGCCACCCCACCCTGCTAACACTTATTGGTCAGTCACCTGTGCTCTCCAGCAGTTAAAAGTTTAAAGCACCACTCTGGCCAATATATTTTACTTTGTCTTGGAGAGAATGGAGAAGGCTTAGGGCTAGTTCACACGAGCCCCAGTGCGTCACGGCCCGATTCGGTGCCGGAACACACTGGATCGCATACCGGCCGGCTCACTGCGTTACAGGGCAGGATGGGGCGTGGCAGTGCATTGAAATCAATGGCACCGCAGCCAAGCCCCCTGCCTGCAGTGCGATTGCTCGTACAGGAACGCGTGGCACACCAGTGCCTGCGTTTCCGTCCGGTGCGGTCACCAAAAATGCTGCACTATTTTTTTCTGACCGCACCGGACCAAAACGCAACGCACTGGGGGACGTGGCTGTTGTGCCATTGACTTCAATACACCACCATGCCCCCTCCCACCCAAGAATGCAGTGAGCTGGCAGGGATGCGATCCAGTGCGTTCTGACACCGAATAGTGCCAGAGCGCACTGGGGCTGGTGTGAACTAGCCCCTAAGAGGTTCACGCCATAAACAGTGCGTTCCAGAGTGGTTGGTCTCTGTAACGCTTTTCAGCCGGTGTCCTGCGTTCAGGGGTGGGAGGTGAAGTAAATGGCACTGCAGCCACGCCTCCTTCCGCCCCTGAAGGCAGGATACCGGCCGAAAAGCGTTACAGAGACCAACCACTCTGGAACGCACTGTTTATGGTGTGAACCTCTAAGGGCTAGTTCACACCAGCCCCAATGGGTTCTGGCCCTATTCGGTGTCAGAACGCACTGGATCGCATCCCTCTGCGATGCAGTGCGCAGCGCACTGCGATGCAGTGCATTCCAGAGGCTGACTGCTCTGGAACGCACTGTTTTTGGTGTGAACCTGTCCTAAGTCAGATTTTAATTGCAGTCTGTGTTCTTATTGCGATGCCCAAATGATATATTACATCCCTGCATCCAATCTGAGATATCAAACTACAGTATATACTGCATACACTGGCTGTATTCTAAGTTTCCTATGACAATGACTATATACTACCACTGGTCCTCTTCCTCTCTTTTGTAGGCTGGAGCAATGTGGCCTGACCTCGCACTGCTACGACGATCTGAAATCTGTCATCAAAACTAACTTATTTCTGACCACGCTGCACCTGAACACTGATAATATAAAGAGCATGAGAAAGGAATTTCAGAATCTCAAGCGCCCGCCTGCTGCTAAACTAGATCTGAGGTGAGAATAGCCTGTGACCTATATAGGAAGGACTCTGGTATCTTTGTAAGGAACTCAAAGGGCTCAATTTTAAACAATATGTAGGGCCATTCTCCCCGCAAAGATCTGTGTGAATGACAAAAACGAACGTTCCTAACATATTTTCTTTCAGGCCGAATGTATTGTGATGTAATACAACATTATGGCCACTAGATGGAGCTGAGTAGCATAGGAAATAAATATTTATTTTCTATGCTGCCAATAAAAATACCAAATCGTTTGCTGCCAGGTAATGAATCTTCCCTATTGTTACAGTGTCATTCCTTCATTTATTATTAAATATAGCTAGAATTAGTAACTGAGTCTGTCTTAATATTTAACCTTTGTAATCTTGCCCAGAGCACAGTGGCGTAACAATAGCCATAGCGACCCAGGCGGCCGCTATGGGGCACAGGGGGGCCCGGCCAGGACACCCCCCAGATGCCGTGCGGGCCGCCTGCGTCGCTATGGGTTTGAACGCGCCGCTGTTCAGATCACCGTGATCTGTGCAGCGCTGCGTTCTTCTCCATAGCCGCTGCTGAGTCAATGAGAGTCAGCAGCGGCGGTGGAGGAGGCTGGACGTGGCGGGGGGGAGGAGGCGGGGCCCAGGAGGTCAGCATCAGAGAAGGAGGCGGGGCCGGTGACGGAGGAGGAGGCGGGCCCGGCGACGGAGGATGGAGCGGGCCCGGCAACGGAGGAGGGAAGACGGAGGAAGAAGAGGCGGACAGGTAAGGAGTGTGACCAGCCAACCTGAGGGTGACCCTGCAGAGCCCACCATATAGAGTCTATGGTGGGCTCTGCAGGGTCGCCCTCAGGTGAGCTATGTGGGCTCTACAAGGGATGTAACTAGAAATCACAGGGCCCCATACAACATTTTGCTATGGGGCCCTGTGATTTTTAGTTACGCCCCTGCCAGAGCAGTATTCTGACTGTGAGAAGACCAGCACAGTAAGCCAGTCAGGTTCTAGTGCTTTATATGGAGTAGTTAGCTTAACAGTGGGAGCGTGCTGACAGGAGGTGTGGGCTGAGGAATGACCACATTTACTGGGAATGCTCCTTCAATATCCAGTCAGCAGGCTGGGGGTCAGTGACCAAGCTGTATTGTGTAACTGTAATGGAGATAAGTGAGGTTACCTATCTGTGCTGTTCAGCAGGGGTGTGTGGTTTGGAAGACTGGCTGAACGGAATGACATATCCTTTTGTCAGGTTGAACAATTTACATATTTGTATTTTAAATCGGGTATTTAGAGGTTTGTCTAGAGTTCACCTTTAACATCATCTACAAAGTGCCGGTATAAGCACATTGGTTTGAACACAATTATCTTTCTGTTTTCCGTCAGGATTCATTTTGGATGGCTAACCATGTTTTTTTCACGGTGAAGATGTAAAGACTATTGACATGGTAAATTACTGACCCGACACCTCGTTGTTATGAAGTGTTTTTATAGCCTGTTCAGCCCCTGTCCAATGTAAAAAAAATGGCAAAATTAAGAGGAAAGAGTCATTTAAAAAAAAAATCAAAATGAAGGAACACTTTCATCATGTAAAAGTTACAAAGAATTGTATAAAATGTGTAAAAATCTAAATACATTACAAAAATAAATAAATGTTAAAGAAAAATGAATTTTGACAAATTTTGTAAAAACAAATGGACTTTTTTGAACCTCACTAACTACGTTACTATGTAAAGCTTAAGTCTGGCCTGGCCAAGGAAGACCCCCCCTCCGCCTAAACTAAATGCCCTTAATGATTATCTACATCCACGGTCATGTGATGTGCTGGGTCTTCTTTGAATGTCCATGTCACTGCCGCCTGAGGACATTGGTACTTTCTTTGGGTCCGTTTGCAGGATCCTTACACTGTCCTGAAGACTCTAGTGGTGTGATCACTACAAAAAAAGTAAGACCAACTCCCAGAAAAACGTTAAATATACTATAAATAAATATATACACTATATTGCCAAAAGTATTGGGACCCCGGCCTTTACACGCACATGAACTTTAGTGGCATCCCAGTCTTAGTCCGTAGGGTTCAGCATTGGGTTGGCTCCGCCCTTTGTCAGCTTCAACTCTTCTGGGAAGGCTGAGCACAAGGTTTAGGAGTGTGTCTATGGGAATGTTGGACCATTTGTGAGGTCAGGTACTGATGTTGGAGGAGAAGGCTGGGCTCGCAGTGTCCACTCTAATTCATCCCAAAGGTCTTCCATCAAGTTGAGGTCAGGACTCTGTGCAGGCCAGTCAACTTCCTCCGCCACAAACTCCCCCATCCATGTCTTTATGGACCTTGCTTTGTGCACTGGTGGGCAGTCATGTTGGAACAGGAAGGGGCCATCCCCAAACTCCTCCCACAAAGTTGGGAGCATGAAATTGTCCAAAATGTCTTGGTGTGCTGATGCCTTAAGAGTTCCCTTCACTGGAACTAAGGGGCCAAGCCCAACCCCTGAGAAACAACCCCACACCATAATCCCCCCTCCGCCAAACTTTACACTTGCAGTCAGCCAAGTACCGTTCTCCTGGCAACCACCAAACACATCCATCGGATTGCCAGACAGAGAAGCGTGATTGGTCACTCCAGAGAACACGTCTCCACTTCTCTAGAGTCCAGTGGCGGCGTGCTTTACACCGCGGCATCCGACACTTTGCATTGCACTTGGTGATGTAAGGCTTGGATGCAGCTGCTCGGCCATGGAAACCCATTCCATGAAGCTCTCTACGCACTGTTGTTGTGCCAATCTGAAGGCCACACCAAGTTTGGAGGTCTGTAGCTATTGACTCTGCAGACAGTTGGCGACTTCTGTGCACTGTGCGCTTCAGCATGCGCTGACCCGGCTCTGTCATTTTACGTGGCCTACCACTTTGTGGCTGAGTTGCTGTTGTTCCCAGTTGCTTCCACTTTGTTATAATACCACCGTTCACTTGTGACCGCGGAATATTTAGCAGCAAGAACATTTCACGGATGGACTTTTTGCACAGATGGCAACCTGGCAACCTATCATGGTACCACGCTTTTAGTCACTGAGCTCCTGAGAGCGACCCATTCTTTCACCAATGTTTGTAGAAGCGTCTGCATGCCGAGGTGCGTGATTGGAACACCTGAATGCAATGATTTGGAGGGGTGTCCAAATACTTTTGGCAATATAGTGTATCTATATATATTTCATAGTATATATCAGGTCTGAGAACGTAGGCCCCTAACAAGATAACTCGGAGCTGGTGACTGGGGACGAGGAGAATGCAAATCTATTTAACACCTTCATCGGCTCTGTTTGTACAAAGGAAAACGATGGAGCTCGAGTACATAATGGGGATGGCAGCGCCATAGACTCTAATGAACCACAATGGTTTAAAATTGTTATAGTTCAGAAACACTTAGGGGGGTTATTCACTAAGCTGCCAAAGGCAGCCAAGTGAATAACCGAATGGAAGTGAAGTGAGCTGAACACCATCGGGCTATTCACGCCGGCCCTGTACGGCTGATTTCAGCCATACATCGGCTAAAATCAGCCGTACATCTAACATTGACAGTGACAACCCAGAGCTTGTCTTTGTTGCAAATGCACAGTAGCTTCTGTATAAGCAAAGCCTGCGAACACAGTTTAAAGGCTTAATTTAAAAATTCCTAGTTACAATATTATAGCATGGTTTTGGATCATCAATGTGCTATATCAGGCACAGCAGACTGGTATTTTATAGGCAACATGAGGCCCTCTAGATCCTTCACTGCTTCAGTGTTGGATAAAGTGGGGAAGTGTTTTTACTGATGCTTGTGCCCAACTGAGAAGATTCTCACAAAAGCAGAGATGGGACTTAAAAGGACAATAAAGGGCAAAGTAAATATTACTTATAAATATATTATATCAAATATTGTGTTTTTCTACATTTTTAGACACACTTCCTGGAAGAAAATGTATCGCCCTGTGACTGTTTGGACCTGTGTCAAGAAATGAAGCCGTCTAAGGCAGATGATATTGTATAAAAGATGAAATATTGCATATATTTCCTCTTTACCACTTGAAACCAACAGTCGGAGTCTGTGCTAGAGTTTAGGCTCAGTGAAGTCTCACAGAGAGCAGCCATTCTGCTTAATATAGGCCCAAGATAATGAACACAGGTTCCTCACACAGTTGGAAACCCCTTAAAGTAGATCTAAGCCAGTGGTGGTCAACTTACTTGATGTAGGGGCACTCAGGTTTGGCCCTTGACATCACCAAAGGGCTGCACATAATATTCATTTAATGTTATGCTACATAAAGCAGTGGAAGACTGCAAACAGGCAATATGAGATGGTCAGAGACTGTGGACGTGCTACTAGAGATGGTCCAAGACTATGGACATATTACAGGAGATAGCCAGAGACTATAAACATGCTACAGGAGATAGCTAGAGACTATGAACATGTTACAGGAGATAGTCAGAGACTATGGGCATGCTACAGGAGATGGTCAGACTATGAACATGGTACAGGAGATGGTCTGAGACTATGTACATGCTACAGGAGATGGTCTGAGACTACGAACATGGTTAAAAAGGTTGGTGTTTAGGTATGCCTTTTACGGAAATTGTTTTAAAGTGTTTTTAATGTGTGCCATTGCCTTTCTATTGTTATGCCAATCTGTGTGTATACAGTGTTTATGGCTCAAATAAAGGTGTATTGTTAAAACCCAATTGAAATCTCATACCTTTATTTGTCTATACAGGTCTGTATCCTTTTTAACTGATTGACACTTGAAAATAGCTTAAATACTCTAAGCAGTGCTCTTAGCAGGGATAGATGAGTAATAGTCATATTCAGGCCATGTCTTTGCTCAGGCTTATAACACCAAAGAAGTGAGAAGGCCTATATGACCAGAGAGAGGGACTTCCTGTCCTCACACTCTGGTGGTCTAAGCCAGGATAGATGAGTAATAGCCATACCCTTCAGGCCTTGTCTTCACTCAGGCTTCTAATACTGAGGAAGTGAGAAGGCCTGTGTGACCAGGGAGAGAGGCTTCCTGCCCTCACACTCCGGTGGTCTAAGCCAGGATAGATGAGTAATAGCCATACCTTCAGGCCTTGTCTTCACTCAGGCTTATAATACTGAGGAAGTGAGAAGGCCTGTGTGACCAGAGAGTAGGGTTGCCACCTTTTCTTCCATCGAAACCCGAACACTCTAGCGACACACGGAAATTTTCTTGGAAGAATGAGTTGCGGCTTTTTCATATGTAAATAGTGCTACCCCTTCATATGTAAATATCACAGTTGAGACTATTTTCAGTGGGGGGCCAGTAGCCCGTATATTCATTTTGGTTTCTCCTGTGTGCCTGACATCTTGTGTCCGGGTTTCTGCTGCCATGAAACCCGAACGCAGCATTCAAAACCCGAACTGTCTGGGTGAATCCTGGACAGGTGGCAACCCTACCAGAGAGAGGGGCTTCCTGCCCTCACACTCCGGTGGTCTAAGCCAGGATAGATGAGTAATAGCCATACCCTTCAGACCTTGTCTTCACTCAGGCTTAAAACACCAAAGAAGTGAGAAGGCCTATATGACCAGAGAGAGGGACTTCCTGTCCTCACACTCTGGTGGTCCAAGCCATCATTGCACTAATAGCTATTCCCCTAGGTTGGCATCGCCACTAGACTCCTCCAGGATGTCAGTTCAAATCTCTCAAATCTCTCAAGTGCCCAGATTGTCCTCAGGTTGCTATCAAATCTAGGAAGATGAGATGGATGAGCAGCCTCTATACAAATTCCAACCCATAGTACATCTCCATGACAACAGGAGGTAGCAGTGATAATAACACCCTAATGGGATGCGGATGGAGCTTGTCACCTGGGATATTAAGTATTTCTGGGGTAACACGGGGTAATGAACTGAGAGCTTGACCCAGTGTCAGAAGGCTGCTGTCTATTCCATACTATTACAGAAAAGCTTCAATTTATTTATTTTCTTTAATTTATTTTCTTTAACTTGTTCAGAACTGCTCATGGATGACACGATGAGGAGTGCCCAGGCACACAGGACTAAAAGTATTACTTAGATAAGTTAAAGCTCAACTCTGGTCAAAATGTTTTACATTTTTGGATAGAGCATAGAGGCGGTTAGAACTGTTTTTATTGCCGTCTATTGGGGAGCTTCCTCCTCACATCTTCTAAGAGAAAGGTTAGAACTTTAGACAATGCTCTGTCTGTCAGTGCCTTCCTGTCCTCATGACAACTGCTTTCCTCATTTATTGTACGGGTGTCAGAGAGAAAGGGAAAATCTGCCCAATGGGGGTCACAGATGAAACCACATTTTTGGTAGTGTAGGGAAATTCTGACAATGTTTTGAATTGCTCCCCCACAAGCTTAACCCTTATTTTTTTTGTCCTGGTGTCACAAGAACAGAAGATGATGGAAAATATCTCCAATGGGATCTCAAATCAATTGTAGCTCTTCTCTACTTTATCCAAAACAAAAAAAACAAAAAATAGGTTTGACCTATTTTAGAAGGAAATACCATCCAGGGCCGGTGCAAGGATTTTTGCCAACTCAGGCGAAGGTGCATTTTGCGCCCCCCCCCCGGCACGCACACACACACACACACACTATACACTAATGCAGAATACCAGCCGTTACAGAGGACTACAAATCCCAGCAATAATACATTATATAAAACGCAATGCAGAATACCAGCAGTTACAGAGGACTACAAATCCCAGCAACAATACATTATACACCATCCAGGCCACTTATACCAGCTATTCATTCACTAGCCCAACATTCTGTTCACCTGCCAGAGCAATGAGAAGAAGCCTTGTGCAAGTACTAAGTACGTGTAGCGCTACCCCCGCAAGGGCCGCTGTAATATACGGGCCTTCTGTCCCACACCAGTGATGACTCGCCCTCACCTG